TGTTTCCGTTCATTTCTGGGCATCCTATTTAAATGACAGTGTATTTGTCTTCTGTACTTTTATGATTCAGATGAAGCCCGTCCATTGTATACTGATTCTCTTTATTCTGGAAGTATCCCCAATTCCTGACAAATCTTAAACTTTCTTGTCACAATCTTTTCAGACAGATATTCAAGTCCTGCGTCTCTACCTTTCTTCTTGGACCTGCATCAGTACTAGCAGAGCTCCAGAGTTAAATGTTTAATACTTGTCTTAAAATAGTGATAATGTATATTGCAAACAATTCTTTTATGTGAAAGGGGCTTAGGACTTCAGCATTATAATTGTTAATATTTCTATTGATTGTGGACGGGGGGGGGAATTAGAGCCACGTTTTGCCTAGAATAGGGCTTCATCTCATTTGTGCAATATTAAATTTATATGGCAATTTAATAATAAAATACTAAAATTGATATGATTCATGTTAGTGCAGTAATCATGAGAGGTATTCATGTCACTCTAAAGCTCTGATATCTGACTTCTGCAAGAGGTGTTCAGCAGCATGAATCAGGATTGCTATCCAAAATGAGAAGTGAGGTATCTGCTGTTACTACATCTTAGTTAGTGATTCCTGTTCGCCACTAAAATTGAAGGCAAAAGAAATAATGCATAGTCTAATTTTTATACTGAATCTAGAATAGAAATAAATTGTGTAAAACGTAGCAGTGCAAGTTCCTGCTGTCTTGTAAGAATGTATCGTTGACTGCTGTACGTTAGCTGTAAAAACTTGTTTTCTAAATGAGCCACAGCCAGTGAATATGCTTCCCTCGTGGGCCGTGTGGGTGTACAAAGATGAGTAAATCAAAGTACAGGACTATGTATGTAACAGACCTTCAGCTTCTGACCTTCATGTAAGAGCTGTTCTTCAACTCCCAAGCAAAGTCTATAACCTGGTTGGAGCAGTGTTGAATCTAGCCCACAGATCGGACAGCCTCTGTAAAACTTGCAAGCCATTGTTCAGCACGCTGCTGCGTCAACCCTGATGGTATCGGGAAATGACACCTATTTTCCAGTTCTGAGATTGCACTATCCTTGCAATTAAACTGGGTGGAGTAGGCAAGTGTTTGCTTGTAATCTTCTAATATGCGTACAATAAGAATCTTTCTCAAGCTTGTAAACCTAAAAATACTATTTTTATGTTTTTGTACAGATAATTGATTACGAGAAGAATCAAACGCTAGGCCAAAACGATACTGGATTTAGTTGTGATGGAACAGCCAGTACATTCAGAGTTATGTTCAAAGAACCTATAGAGATTTTGCCAACGGTTTGCTACACAGCTTGTGCAACGCTGAAAGTAAGAATGCCTAACAGTACAGAAGAAAATGTTATTTTGATGCAAGAGTTGTTCTTTTGTCTGTCTTCTGATGGGAAAGTGTTGTCTAGATCTTGAATTTATTTTAAGTTTAGTGCTAAGGAAGGCTGTAGTTAAACTCCACAGTAGCTTTTTAAGACTGGTAGCTCTCTTCTGTGCCACAGCACAGAATTCATAACTGGATCCTTTGTGCCTTCCCACTTTCTGGCTTCGTGTAAGAGTTAGAATGAGTTGTAATGGAAGTCACTGGTTCTGTGTGGGCAAAAGCACTATCTAGAATATTTAATCTGGCAGCTCTCTATTGAAATTTAAGTTTGATTTCTTTTATCAAGGGTATTCTAAGCACTAACTAGAGTCAAGAAAACAAAGTTTTCTTTTATCACTTTTTATATACTAGTGCTGAAATATAGGAGAGAATTACTTGTTCTAGGAAAGTCTTCCCTTAATGTTATGGACAAATTTATTTATTCAATGTTTTCTCAAAAATCTTTTAATATTCTTTTAAATATAATTCCCTATACAGAAATCAAAGTTGAGTGGGTTGGAAAAAAATGTTGCACACTGAAAGAAGCTGAGGCAGGGAACTAAGTGTGAATATAGACAACCTGTATGACAAGGGGAAAAACTAGAAAATATTCATTCATTACCAGTTGGATAAAATCAAGTGGTTTAGGTCTGCAGTCAGAGAAACTCTTTTTTTATTTAGACATTAATCTGTTGTCTGTGATTTTGTATACAACGTACATGATGTGGGTACAGAAATGTTATACTGTTAAAATAACCTAAGTCAGTAGTGTTTGAACCTCAACATTTTATGGGACTTGCTGCCTGTTTGCATTCAGTTGCTAATCTCTTCTGATGTTTTTCAGGGTCCTGATTCCCACTATGGAACAAAAGGTTTGAAGAAAGTGATCCACGAATCTCCTACTGCTAGCAAAACATGCTTTGTCTTTTATAGTTCACCAGGTAACAACAATGGTACATCAATAGAAGATGGACAGATACCAGAAATCATATTTTATACATAAGGTCACGTGATGATCTCGAATGTGTCAGCGTGTCAGCGGACTTCAGCTCACTATTGGCGGCAGTTAAATTCTGTGAAATTACATGAACATGTAAAAACAGAACTAACTTGTTGGAGAGGTACCAGAAAAGCTATTTTCTCTGCATTGTTATTGGCCAAATGTAATTTAGCTTTTCATCTTAACAAAACATCAAGTGGAAGAAGTACTCTGTATATTGAAAAGATTGTTTTAAATAGGATCTTGTGATTAATTGCTTTGTCTTTTCACCCCTCCCTTTCTCATGTAGTAAAATTCATTTTTTGAACTGGAACATCCTTACTCATTATGATCTTCTTGCGTATGTTTTTCCTCAACGTGTCCTAAAAAGACAGTAAAGCTGCTGCTGTAGTCCCAGCTTACACTTCTTTCCAAAATGACCATGGAGTGACCCGATGGACACAAATTGCTGCTATATTTTTTGAAGTACATCAGCAAAGCTGGATTCATATTGCCATTGTCTTGACTTTCTGGATGAGCCATGGAGAATTAATGGACTTAACACTGCAGACTGCTGCACTGAAGAAACACTAAGTCAAATTCAGCAATAAACAGATCTTTCCAGAATCTCTCTTAATTCAGAAGGGCTGTTTTGGAACAGAGAGCTGGTTATGGAAATAGCCACTGTATATACATATGTACCTATACAAAAATGTACAATGTGAAAATGAGAATACAAGACTTGTAATGATGTTATTTTATCATTGGATATTCTAATACTAAAAAACTAGTTTTACAGATTGCATACAGTAATTTGATGCAATTGATGTATGTATATAGTATTCAGTGTCCTGCAATATGCACTGAGTAGTAGTAGAATTCTTTGTGTACAAAATCCTGTAACCCCTCCCCCCCAATTATACTGAAGTAATAATTTGAGAACACAGGAGGAGGAAAAAAAAAAATCCTCTTTTTCTCTTCCCTAATTTCTCTTTAAATGCCTGCTCCCGTGAAGGTCGTGCAGGTCTTAGGTCTCAAAACCCAGTCCTTAAACCAAGCCCTGTGTTTCAGCCCGCCTGCTCCGTACGGATTTCGATGGGCGCGGGGGTTGCTCCTTCAGGCGCGGCCCGGAAAGCGCTGCAGCGAGCGGAGGCGTGCGCAGCAAGCGGCGGGCAGCCGGGGCCGGCCCTCGGGGCGCCGGTGCCCCGCGGC